GTGTGCGTCTGTGTGTGTGTGTGTGCATGTGTGTGTGTGCATGTGTGCGTCTGTGTGTGTGCGTGTGTGTGTGTGTGTGTGTGTGTGTGTGTATTCAATCGACTATACCCTATAAAGCATGTTATTGGACTCGATGTAGAAAAGTCTTGAATGTTCAGTGTCTTTGAAGAGAGCCCAATAAAATATCACTTTTCTCCACATAAAGAAACAGAAAACAAAAGTATCAGATCCAACGTCTTGGATGAAGAAAGAAACAAAAATAAAAAGTAAATGATTTTTTAAAAAGTTAAGTGATCCTATTCCAGAGTTCATAAACGGATTTCTGCCAGTTAAATCATTAAAGAGCTAAATATATTTTTAAAATATGTAACGTAATATTATTATAAACTGAAGCTGCATCATAAGATGAACTAAAACTACCCCATGGTTTAATATCTTAAAATATTAAAACTCTATATTTGTTGATTTAGTCAAAGCCAAAATCTCGAGAAATCCGGTGCAAACCACTTTTGGGTTCAAAATATTTCCTTGAAAATAAATTACAGCTTAAACAGCTACAGGCACCTCGCCTGTGGTGTACCGGGAAACCCCGATCGATACAAATCTACACACAATTTATCTTGAACACCCGCACTGCAAGTGCGAGCCGGACGGTGCTGAGTAGGCCTAAGGCTGGGCATGTGGAGTCGCTTTAGCAAAATCCGGATAATATGTTAGTGCACCTCTTCGGCAAATAAAATATGATTAAGAACCTCTTCAACAAATGGGTTACAACCACTTTGACAAACTGGTTAGGCATCACTTCAAAAAATGGATGCTCCCACTTCCGCAAACGGGATAGGAAAGAGAGTTAAGAATCTGAATTCGATCATGTTTCACTGAGAATGATCCGGTTATCCTTATAGATTAACCGGATTTTGCCCACCTCTAGTGCCGAGTCGTGCCTCACTCTCCTAGTGAACGCCACCTTCTCACTCCCTTCTCTCCTCCATTTTCCGCCATCGCTTCTCTTCTCTCGTTTTGCCGTGCTATCTTCGGGCATACCCTTGTGCGTTATCTAGCGTCAAAGTTGGTGCCGTATGGCAGTCCGTTTACCCATCCTTGTAAACTTGTGTAACGTCCGAACCGGCCATTGTTTTGTTTACATATCCGAGCATTAGAGGGTTTACGCCTCCGGGAAAGATAGCGATCGCTGAAGCAGCTAGCTAGCGGTGAAATGAGAGGGGGTGTTTGGACATTCTGGTGGCTCGTCCTTGCTTTCGTTTGGTCCTGTTTCTTAGATTGTCCTGATTCCAGCGGGGTGTTAGACATGTGCACTTACATTATGACAGACGAATCTAAATACACATGAATGTTTGGGGCGGTACCAGTGAATGGATAAGTTGTTATTTATTCAATACATGTCTTTGCATGGCAAACATTTATTGTCAAGAATACAACGATAAAAGTATAATGTGTACTTGTAACTTAAATGTAAAATTAAGCTCAGTAAGTAGCGCAAAAAAAAAAATCAAAAAGAGATAAATTTTGCTTTAAAAATTGCTGTTGAGTATTCCGGATTTCTTTTTTCAGATAAAAGTGAGCTTATACACGTATATTGCCCATTCTCCCTAGTGCCAATGTTGTGTTAAGTATTCACATACACAACGATATCTTTCTCAAAATGATAGATAATGTTGGTCCTGGAAAAAGACCGAGAAAAGAATCAAATAAACAAGATAAAGCAGTGTTCAGAATGTTGAGAATTATTTTTTTTTCTTATTCTTAGCACAGGAAGACGTCAAACCGACAAGGGTTCAAAGTCACAATAACCGGTGTCGTTGTTTTTTAAATATTTTTTTTTCCTTTTTAGAATGAAGGGTTTCTTTGTTTCATTCATTCATTCATTCATTCATTCATTCATTCATTCATTCATTCATTCATTCATTCATTCATTCATTCATTCATTTTTTCATTCACCACCCCCCCCAAAAAAAAAACAACAACAAAAAAACAACCCAGCAAAAAACAACGACAACAGAAAAAGGACAAATAGACAAATAGACCAGATCAACAATAGGATATATATATATATATATATAACAAACTCACCCTCTCCCCTTTTATTTATTTATCTTAACATTTATTTATCTATCCGTTTGTTTTATCTTATTTGTTGATTAAAACAAACAAACAAAAAGCCCTTCAAAAAACAAAAAGGAGAGTTTTTGTTTTATTTTGTTTTGTTTTGTTTATGTTCAGTTCAAGCCGCCAATGGCATGCCGATAAGCAGGCGTCGATTCCTTGGGCTGAGAATATCATGTGATATTAGTCGCTATTAAGCACAAGGGTGCTATCCCGAAAAATGCTGTTTTGTGAAAATCGGAGGTAAAGTCTTTACCCCTTGTTCAGTTTCTTGAAAGACCAGAAGAGTTTTCTCTATAACCAAACAAATATACACACCAATGAAACCAAATCCTATACTATAGGCAGAGCAATATCTACTTTTGTTTTAGGGCAAGATTTCTGGAAACTCATGAAATCTGGGTTAGCCCGCTTGTCATTAAAAGCGACCATTTGAAGTTGACTGTAGGAGAGAGCAGAACTCTCCCTGAACTGCATGGAATAGAGAGGCGACAGACCTCGCCTCAGGGCCTTCAAACTGCAGGGTTTGTGGTCAAGGGTCACGTGATGGGAAGTGAGTGTTAGTAGGATAGTAGGATGGGGAGGGGTGGAGAGAGAGAGAGAGAGAGAGAGAGAGAGAGAGAGAGAGAGAGAGAGAGAGAGAGAGAGAAAGAGAGAGAGAGAGAGAGGGGGGGGGGAAGGGGAATGACAGATAGAGAGTGAGAGAGACAGAGAGAGAGAGACAGAGACAGACAGACAGAGAGAAAGAGGGGGGGGGGTGACAGACAGACAGACAGGGACATGGAAGGAATAGGCAGAGAGATACAAAGACGTATACAGAGATATAGGAAGAGAGATATATATGGAGAACAGGGAGACAGGGGCAGAGACAGAGGCAGACAGTGGGAGAGACAGGCTGACAGATACAAAGATACAACAGCAATAATAATAATAACAGCAACAACAAAAGCATCGTTGAAAAATAACAGAAATATTAACCCAAAAAAAACCCAGACAACAGCAACAGAAACAACAACAACAACAAATAAATAACATATCAATAACAGAGAAATAGCCAACAACAACAACAACAACAACAACAACAACAACAACAACAACAACAAACAATAACAACAATAACAAACAATAGCAACAACAACAACAACAATAATAGCAAGCAACAGCAACAATAACAGCAGCAATAACAGCAACAACAAATACAATAATGATAGCAACAATAACAAACAACAAAACGACAACAAATAACGGCAACAATATCAGACGGTGAGCAACAACAATAAAACAAAGTTTTAAAAAAAGCGCAACACTGAGACACTGGTATCCGACGTTTCTTGAAATGTATAAGTGAAAAGATTTTATTTTCCTTTTCACTCCACCAATTACAATACGAGGATTTTAACATTCAATTTGTTTACTTTAGCACTGGAGTGAAAAATCAACCTTAAAATGCTGTATCATATTTTTTTATTTCTTCAGCCAAGTTCCGTCATAAAATATCACGTGGCTGTCGTATTTTAAAATAATTCTTCGCTCTTTCTTTCACGATCTCTCTCTCTCTCTCTCTCTCTCTCTCTCTCTCTCTCTCTCTCTCTCTCTCTCTCTCTCTCTCTCTCTCTCTTTCTTTCTTTCTCCCTGTCTGTCTATTTGTCCCTCTCTTTCTTTCTTTCTCTATCTCTCTCTCTCTTTCTTTCTCTCTCTTTTCCCCCTCTCTTTCTCTCCTCTCTCTCCCTCTATCTAGTTATCTATCTATCTATCTATCTATCTATCTATCTATCTATCTATCTATCTATCTATCTATCTATCTATCTATCTATCTATCTATCTATCTATCTCCCTCTCTTTCTTTCTCTCTCGTTGTGTGTCTCTTTCCCCTTCCCTCTTTCTTTCCCCCACCCATCTACAGATCTCTCTCTCTCTCTCTCTCTCCCTGTCTCTCTCTCTCTCTCTCTCTCTCTCTCTCTCTCTCTCTCTCTCTCTCTCTCTCTCTCTAAAAGTTTCCTATCCTCTCACAAACCCCTCTTTCCCTCCCTATCAATATATATATTTCTCTCTCTCTCTCTCTCCACAAACCCGCCTCCCCAGTCTGCCCACCTTCCACAATAAATCACCGTCCGCCTCTCCCCTCTACGAAGGCGGCGCTTAGATATGGTGCCTGGCTCTCACCGAGTCTGGAACAATCAATAACTCCCGCCACCGAAACCTGGCACCAGGGGCCGACAACCTTGCCCCGACTAGAACCGCCTTCCCCAGTTACCGCCCCTCCCCCTCAGTGCCTGTCGACTCCCCAGCAAAGCGCGATAACCTGAGAGGCCCTGAAATCCTACAGCGCCTTTAGCGTTTCGGCTCTCTCCCCGTCCTGGTTCCTTGAAGTCTGGCAGCGAGTGGAGTCAAGCTCGCGCCCTGATTGGTTGAAATTCGGAGATAAACCGTATGAACATGGCGGTGGGTATCCCCTCCCCTTTACTGATACCAGGTAAGATTGGCGGGACGTGCCCTCACAGTTAGACCATCCGTTCTCCTTTTCGTCCACAAAGTCTCTCAGTGTCTGATGTTCCAGGGCACCGCCTCGATGTGCGACTGACGGGCTGTTTAGGTTCGGGAACGATCTGGGACTGTGATAGATAGCGAAGTCGACTCACGGGCTACGAGAATAGATCACAGCACCCAAACACACGAGGAGGGCAGCGGAAAGTTTGCGTACACATCCGACAAACGCGCGCGCGTTCGAGATAAACCTTACGCTCTCTAATCCGCACTGGATTACTGCAATCTCTTCTTGGATAAGAACTGAGAGAGAAAGAAGAACAGACACTGCTAATAAAAGAAAAACAAGAAAGTTGCTCGTCTTGTAAAAGGTAGTCAGCTGATTACCCTGTTCAGATAGTAAAATAAAGAAATTAAGGACGTGTGTAAGAGAAAAAAAAAACCCAACCCAACCTTAAACACCTCGCCTTTGAGTGCTGTCGTGAAGACGCGTCATATCTAGCTTGTTGACTGCAAGGATACACCTCACGCTAGACACAGTACACAAGATTGCATAAAGGACCCCCAGTTCATGGTAAGTGAACGTTTTATTTCACTTTTATCTTCATTTTTTTTTCTCCCACGTTTTTTTGTTGTTTTTGTTTTGCCTGCAGATTTTGTGTGTGTATAATTTGTTTACTTTGATTTAGGCCTGTATAATTCAACTCGGACATTATCTCCGTGATGAAAGTTATGTTTGTGTGATAGCTGGTTGGTCTTTTTGCCTGTTTGTATCACAGTATTCAACTGATTTCACGGGGGTTCTGTTTATTCTGAGGAGGCACCGTGTCCCTCTAATGCAACGGGCAACACTTAAATAAAAGAAGGAAAAAACAAAACAAAACAAGAACAACAACCAAGACAAATGATATTTTCATAGTCACGTTCAACAATATTATTATAAGGAATTTCTGTTACGACATAATACTATTATCCTGAACTGAATCTTTGATTAATCTCTCTCTCTCTCTCTCTCTCTCTCTCTCTCTCTCTCTCTCTCTCTCTCTCTCTCTCTCTCTCTCTCTCTCTCTTTCTCTCACACTCTCTCTGTCTCTCTCTCTCTCTCTTTTTTTCCATCTTCTCTTTGTATATTTATTTTTATACACATTAAACGGTGCCTGCTTCACGTTTATTTAACAAACAATGCGCATAATATGTTGTTCCTTCCGCTCGTAAATACAGACAGATCTAGATCTACATTCTACATATTTCGGTATGACATGTCTGACGTTTTCCATTCATATAGACCGTCAGGTGAACACAACAATAGCAACTAGATCTACATCATTAAATCCCTTTTTCAATAAAGCGTAAAGTCCTAATTAGAAAGTGGTACAGGTGAGAAAAATTCTGCCAGATAAAAAATATAATAATAGCCTCCCCAAAATATATGAAGTAAAATATACTTTGAATCTAATTGTACCTGGTGATTGCTTGTTTCTATTTTTGCACTCAACAAGAAGAGTTATTGTATCAATGATTAATTTATTTCAACTGCTTGGCCCTGTCTTTATGCCAGTTGTCAATTAGTTATGAATGTTGCTTCAATAAACAGAAAAGAAAACAGTGCGTGGCGCGTGCCCAGTCCTGTTTAAACGTTTGATCTTTTTATGTCAACCAAGCTCAACAACAAATGGGTAGCAACTTTCAGTAGAGTTTGTTTTGAATCTGAATCAACCGAAGATCAATGAATCAGTTTTTTAAAACCCCCACAATTTCTAGGTACACAATTTCTATTTCTAAAAAGCAGACAAGGATGAAAAGCGACGATAGTCAAATAGCCGTCATTATGTTGTTCAATTGTAATTGTAACAAAGTAACCGCTTTCACTAACAGAACTAGTCAAAAAAATTTTTTTTTATTATGTACAGCAAAGACTGCAATAATGAAAAGGGAGATAAAGCAGCAACAATCAATTACCTTTTGAAGAAATTCTCTTTTGACCCGAGCAACAAACAGTCATAAAATAAAATTTACAAAAAACGGAAACAAACAAAGACACCAGGGACAAAAACAAACAACAACAGAGATGGTAACAACAATAATAACAACAACAACAACAGCAGCAGCAGCAGCAACAACAACATAAAACAACAATGACAACAACAACAACAGCAACAATAACAAAAGCAAAAACAACAACGCCAAGAATAACTTTTCTCTTATACACTCGGTATCAGGACTGGCCACCCTAGCACAATATGCCGAAGGCCCAGGAAGTTGTCTCACTAACTAATAATAATAATGATAATAATAATAATAATAATAATAATAATAATAATAATAATAATAATAATAATAATAATAATAATAATAATAATAACAAATAGCATTTGTATAGCGCATATCCCCGCTCAACAGCCGGATCTATGCGCTTTACACTATACATGTATTATTACCCCAGCAGACCATAGAACACTCTGAAACATTCTCAGCTTCCCGGGAAGCATACAGTGCAAGCAGCTGATTAAGCGCTCAAACACTAACAAACTGACAAGATCTTTCGCAGTCTATAGCCGGGTACCGGGTACCCATTCCCACCTGGGTGAAGTGGGGAAAATTCGTATAAAGTGCCTTTCCCAAGGACACAACGTCGGGTCCCTGACGGGATTCGAACCCACAAACTTACGGTTGCGAATCCCAGAGCCTAACCACTAGGCCAACGACGCCACAACTAGGCAATCCCGAATGTCCGGATCGGATGCGGAACAACTTTACTTCTGTCGGGGGGAAAACAGCTGCCAGCAATGAATTCATTTATCTACAACATTCTTCAATAATGACCAAGGCCAACATCCCAGGACTCACTGCGACCTTCCTAAAACGACGACATAACCCCTCATCACAAAATAGCGTAAATGCGTCAACAATTTGCTAGCTGTTGTAAAATATAAGGCACCTGGCTTGACCTGGGACCCTTGATTATAAATAAATACGGGACAGTACGTTGAAACGGGATGTTCTTTTTATATACGTAATTGTGATCCTTATTTTATCAAGATTGTGAAACAGGAATTAAAAATTTAGCCACAAAAGTTGCAAGCAGACGAAACAATCATCATTACATGTAATAATAAACATATAGATTTAGAAGTATTTCTAATTTTGTGGGTCTCTTCAAAAACAACAAACATTATTGTGAACATAGTTGCTGCTTTCCCTGTGGATAAACGAACAAGAAATACACCAAAGAATACTTTCCTTGAAATTACAGATGGGAAAAGGAACGGATGAACTTGATAAATTATTTTTCTTTTAAGTTTTTCAAATGCATAAAAAATAGATACTTGTTGAAAAATAAAGAAAGAAATGAATGAAGATAAAGAAGAAAAAAAAGAAAGGAAGGAAGCAGTCTTAATTAACAAGTAAAACATTCTTAATTGAACAAGAAGTAAATAGACATACTAGAAATTCAATTGATTTGTCATGAAAAGGAATTCATATCTTTTTGTGTTGCCCTTTACGTGCGTGATCAGTTTTCATGGCTTCATGGCCGGCCAAGCAGTCGTTTTGAGATTCTGTTATTTTGGAACAATGAGAATTGCTCATCCACCGAGAAAATCTAAGGTCAAAATCAACCTCCAACAACAACAATGATAACAGCAACAGCAACATCGGCATCGAAAACAATTACTGCCACAGCAACATCCGCATCCACCACCAGGTTTACCTGTATCATTACTCCTTTTAATACTGCAGATTATAATGATGATGATGATGATCATCATCATCTCATCATCATCATAATAATAATTATAATAACAATAACAATAATAATAATAATAATAATAATAATAATAATAATAATAATAATATTCTAATAATAATAATAATAATAATAATAATAATAATAATAATAATAATGATAATAATAATAATAATATTTCTAACAATAATAATAATGATGATGATGATGATGATAATAATAATAATGATAATAATAATAATAAAAATAATAATAATAATATAATAATAATAATAATAATAATAATAATAATAATAATAATAATAATAATAATAATAATAATAATATAATATAATAATAATGATAATAATAATAATAATACTTTTTTTTAATAAGAAGAAGAAAAAAAAAAAGGAAAGGGGTAAAAGAAACAGCATCAACTACTACAGCAAAACAAAATCAAGAAAAAACAACAACAAACCTACGACAAGAATAACAGCAGTAATATAAAAAAAGAGTCTGTATTTTAGAGCGGAGTCGGAGGTACATTGAGTGGAATTTTTCCAACGTGAGGAATTGTAGGTTTAAATCCACATGAGGCCTGCATTCTCTATTTTTTTCTAAAAACATTTATCCTTTCATCCCAGTGTCCTGTCGGGCAACTCGTAATAATGATACACTGCATTTATATAGCGCTCAACCTCGATTTAAGTACATGATAGGCTCTGAGTGCTAATCACTCTCTGAACAAATTATTGTTGCAAAGCACTAAATGCTTTATCATTGTTATTAATAATTGTTATTCCAAGTTGTTGTTGATGCTGGTTGTTGTGGTGATGATCCATTAGCTGTTGAGCGAGGGTTTTTCGTCCCAATGCGGAGATAAAAAGAAGGCGGAGATATGTCTTCAAAATACGCTCTCTGCTGCAGTGTAGGGTATTGTTGCTCGGTGATGCAGGGGCAAGAGAAAAAAATCATTATCGCCTTCGGTGGGTACTAGATCTATGGTTTGTATGGCCGTCTCGAGCTGAACATGTGGAAAGTTGATGGTAAGAAGGGTTCTGGTCGAGACGGTCATGCTAACCTTAGTCTACGTACGGGGGACTGACTTGATCAACTAAACATTGAGTGGACATGTTTCTCATTTTGTTCTCTCTTAACCCTATCCATACGCCCTGGAGTCATTTTGTACCCTCGGGGTTGAATTTTAGAATACTTCTACGTCTAGGGCGAAGATCTCTTTGAAACTTTCAGTACTTCTCAAAAAATCATTTTGACAGACTACTGCTATCTACTGCTATGCACAGCGCACGGATGGGATTAACGAGTAATTTCCTCTTTGGAAACTGGTGACACAGGGTTCCTCACGTCGTATGGATACGATAGTAAAACACAACGTACAGATAAGGTTAAAGCAAAACAATGATTACTGCTACTACTAATAACACTTTAATACACACGTACACATCATTTATATAACTCTGTCCTGTTCTGAAATATGCTCTGAGAGCCGTACAGCTATTACTATTATTGTCCCAGCAGACTCGACCCTTGAGCACTCAACAGCAGCAATCTTAACTTCCTGAAAAGCAGCCATTTTACACTTACTCGTTTAAATACTAGCAAACTAACAATATTCTTTTGCTGTCTATAGTGGTATGATAATACACATCACCAGGTACCCATTCGACCTGGTTGAGGTGAGGAGAATTCATGTAGAGTAACTTTCCCAAGGGCACAACATCGGACCGTTAACAGAATTCGAACCCATGAAATTATGGCTGAGAGTCCAAGTGCCTTAACTCTAGACCACTGACGTCATGTATTGCTTTGTCAATCGAAGGACTGAT